TTTAACTGACTTATTTAATTTAGCATAATATTCACAAGGCCCATCCATGTTGCTGCAAATGACTGCATTTCATCTTTTCTTTATCGCTGAGTAATATTCCATTGTATGTATGTACCACATCTTCTTTATTCAATTATCTATAAATGGAGACTTTGGTTGTCTCCATGTCTTGGCCATCATGAATAATGCTGCAGTGAACATAGGGGTGCACATATCTTTGCAAATAAATGTTTTCAAAATTTCCTCCACGTCAGCATTTAAAGCAGTTTTTACTTTCTGATTAATTAAAAACAACATGTTACTTGTGCTACACTCTTAGAAAACGAATCTTAAAGAGAAACTGTTGAATGCCTCTTGGCATTTCCTTCTCCTCCTTCTCCTTCTCCTCCTGCTCTTCCTCCTCCTCCTCCTTCTTTCTTTTTTTAAATTACCCAGAACACCAAATGCCTGGCTTGCAAGCTTATTTTCCAGACCACTGATAGCAATGTGGTTTTGTGTTTGTGTGAATATGTTTTGTTTTGAAAGACATCAACTTGAAGCAGTTTCAAATCTCTAGCAGCAATTTCTTAAGGAGTATGTCCGAAACGAGCTAGTGGCCACATTTATGCCAGGTCACTTGTCAAACGTTTCGCAGGGAGATGTCGAGTTTGGAGACAACCACAGTCCACGTTTAAGAAACTACTTAGAAAACTATGTAGGAGTTCTGTGGATCTTTAGAACTAGCAAGAAACCTTTATTATTTATTATTAGCATATTGTATGTAGTCTCCAAAGAATATTCTATAAGTCATTTTTCTAAAATATTAGAGGCTCAGTGCATGAAATTTCATGCACTGAAGGGAGGTCCCTCAGCCCGGCCTGCCCCCTCTCACACACAGTCTGGGAGCCCTCAGGGGCAAGAGGCGACCCGGTGATCAGGGGAAGGTGATGCCTCATCACACCTCTGCTGCTGTCACTGTTGGCAGGACAAGTCTCAGCTGGTCCTGGTTACCTGAGCCTCAGGCTGGCCCTGAGAGGACTGGGGAATTCTGGAGGCAGGCACACAGAGCAGCTGGGCTCACAGCCCTGGTGGGGCTGAGGGGACTGGGCGTTGCCATCTTGTGGCTGTGGGTGTTGCCATCTTTGAGGGTGGGGTAGTCAATTAGCATATTCCCTCCTTATTGGCTGTGAGTGCAGCCATCTTTGTAACAACATGAGGATCAATTAGCATATTCCCTCTTTATTAGATAGGATAGTTCCCAAATTTTCCTAGGAAATTCCATGAGCTTGGAATGCTTGTTTAGACATAATTCAAAATTGCCAGGAGATAGAAGTCTGTTGGGATTACGTAAGTGTGAAGTTAACTTTTATTTTTTTTTTAATGTGAAAAGGTCAAAATTAATGAAGAAACTAACAAATTCTAAGTTCCACTGAAGACATTCCAATGCTTTTAGCAATTCACTTGAAATGGAAGAGGAAAACCAACCCTTAGACATTGTAAAGCTTTGAAAGCCTAATGAGCCATGCTACCTCCTGTAGTTTCTACCAAACCAAGATCTGTGCAAGGACTGGGCTCATTAACATTTAGTGGAAACAGATCATTCATCTGTTGCAATAGCTTCTTGAAATATTTTCACCATTACCATTGTATTTGGTTGCTGAAATATTGCTTTCTCAACTGTTACTTCATATTTCTTATTGTTGTTAATGTAAATGTAAAATGTTGATTTAAAGTCCCAAAAGTCATGCATATATGCATAATCCATGGTCATAGACAATGCGGTGGTGAGGGCTTGGTAAAGCAGGGAGACAGGAGCAGGATGGAAGAGGTAAATGGGGGAAAAAGAACTTATGTAACACTTTCAACAATAAAGATTTAAAAATAAATAAATAAATAAAATCCCACAAGTTAAATGCCCCTGTTTCCAAATGACAAACATGCTTTTTCTTTTCATGTGTCCAACAAATATATTCATTTTCAACAAGGTAGTTTCTTGATGCAAGTTGGTTCTTGTTATATTTTAATTGTTTACTTTCCCCAACTAAATAAGGAAGAAAATTAGTAACTAGAATATACAGAAAATAGAATATTAGGTATATAGATAACTTGGTTTTTTTTTAAAATTCATTATAATAAAGGTTACTATGTATCAAAATATTAGCAATACATTTAACTCAACTATTTTTAAGATTTTTACATCTCATAATTTTACAGAAAATTTTGTGTTACAGTGATAAAACCCTGCATTATTTAGAACACACCTTTCCAAGTTACCTAATTCTATGAGGACTTTAATTTTTATGCATTCGAGTTATTTTACAAGGTGTAGATAAATGATACTAAGGCAAAATATACAAGGAGATGGCAAAAGTAGATTTTCAGTTGTTGGTATGAAAAATAATACAATAATTAATACATAATAGAAAAATAAACTATTTTATGTACTAGCAACTGTAAACCTACTTTTGCGCCATCTTGTATCTTTTTATAGACATGTAAATAAATTCTGCTGTTAAAGATTCAAGTGAATTCTTCTCCTTCTCTGGAAAAGCCAGTTTTGTTCCATTAGCAAATTAATTTCAATATTCTGAATTTATAAATGAGTCTGTTACATATTGTCCTTTTATCTGGTTGTAACATCTTACTTTGGTCTTCATTAATTAATTGTGTTCATTTTGTATGTATATGAAAGTCACTCTTTTCATTTTTTTCTTCAAACTACGAAATATGTCCACAGGATTGGTATTATATCTGTGTTTTTACAACAAAATACAAATGTATTTCTTAGGTTGTATATAATTTAATTTCTAAAATTAGAATCTCCCTCTTGTTTTACTGTCCCAGTACAAACAGATGTGCATAAAATTAGCATTTTGACGCAAATTGTCTGAAACATAACTCAAAATTAATATTAGTATTCTATCATTAATTAAAAAAAACGTTTTCATGTATTTTGATCTCCATTTCCCTAAGAATTCTGTTGATTGAAGATGCCTTGGAAATATACTAAAAATCTTAGTGGATTATCCCAAAATTAACAGGTCTTTTGCAAGATTTTATGTTAGAAAGATATATGTGATGATGACAATACCCTCCATTTGGTGTGATGGGCCTAACATTGCAAGGGCTGTGTATCCAAAGGCAATTGTATTATATGTTTTTTACCCCAAAAGTTTTAGATGCGATGTATACCATGATTTGCTTTTACACCACATACCCTCTGAAGACATTGGAAAATAAAGAGATAGATTTAAAGAAAAAAAATAAAGTTACTTATATGTAAATATAAATGTACTTACAGTTGTTTGTGAAGCTAGAGACGTAATCACATCCTTTTTCTGTTCCTAAGGAGGCTAATGGAGATAGAAACACATTTTCCATTGCACATTGGGCTCAAATCTGCCTCTCAGTAAAGTATAATATTCAGCAAGTGACTTAAAATATCTGAATCTCGTTTTCATCAATACGAAGTAATGTCTGCTAAAGTGCTCTGCCATTGGAAAATGTAAGGTAGAAATGGTTGTGGCCCTTCAGGAGTAGTTCTAGCTGTTGCATTTGTCTCTTGATGCAAAGCACATTTCGTAGATTGAATGTGTTGGGAGAGTCATGCTAGCCTTAGTATGATTGTGGGCAGAGCTTTTAGAAAGAAGACCGAACAGTGTTCCTTCTTTCTTCCTCTCCCACAAGACTGAAAATTATTTATTTGATTTACTTGTCAATCTGTTCTCTTTCCTCTAAAAATGTGAATCCCTAAACATTTTCAGTAAATAGAATTGTTAGAAAAAGGTGCATAGGAAGGTCAAATCATATTCATTTTAGGAAGTTCAAGGGAGGTACTTTGGTGTTTGGATCGAATTTCACTATGTTGAATGAATTATTCTTGGAAACTTTTCTCTTAAAATTCTTAAATTTCTGCCTGACAGGCTGAAGTAAGCAACTATTTCCCAAAAGCCTGGGTGTGGTTTTGAAGCAACAGTGTTCTAAGCCTGTCATGTTCAAAGAGAAAATAGCTCTGCTTGACATGCTAACTTGGAGGGTCTGAGACTTGATGTTTCTGCTTTCATGAGATCAAGTGCAGTATAAAAGTTACAAAGGGCTAAGTAATGAACCAGTGGGAAAATCAGATGTTTATTAGTGTGCTTTTATTTTTATTGGGGGGAAGGGGTTTGGTAGATGTGGTTTTCCTAGAATAGCAATGACACACATATTTCAAAACAGCTTATTTCACCAAGCATGTATCTTTGCAAAGGTTTGTTGCTTTGTTTATGTTTATATTCTCTTTTAGTTGGTTGACCATCATAGATGTGTTGCTTTGGAGAAGAGGGCTTAAATCATTCATTTGGGTGCTCTCATTTGCATATTATAGTAGTCACAAACTAAGTTCTCAGAAAAATCATGTCTTACTTGGAAAACTAAGTTTAAAAAAAACTTATCTGAATGCCTTGAGGTGAAGTAATGCTCCCTGTTTTATACCCAGCTGTCTTATAAAATTATGCTATCTGTCTGAATCCCATAAGCATTTAAGTTTTGGGATACTTAACCTATAAAACCAACAAGATTTTATCATCAGTCAGTCTCTCTGCTACTTTTCAGCAGATAAAAGTTCCAAATAATAATAATAAAATCTTTCCAAAATACTTCTTCTTTAGGATAGATCTAGTCCAATTTGTCAGACCTTTTGGAAAGGCTACAATGTAGAGCCCTTTGATAGTGTAGCATCCCACATTTTCACCCTGTATTTCTTTGGAGTACCTAAAAGATATGAGTGTGGTATAGTGGATGAAACACAAAGAAGGGAATAGCAGAAATATGTTTAAACTCTGTTCTTCCTTTTTCTCCCTCTTAAACTGATAGAGTTTTAAAATAAATCAAATACATTTTTTAATTGATAAACTGAATTTATATTAACCTATTGGAAACAGTACAACATATTTTACATCAGATTATGAAATATGGATGTTTTACTAAAAGACAGGAAGAGTTTTTCCAAGTCTTTAAAGTAAATACATATTCAAAGGATCTTAAGGCATACCATTTATTCATATTCATATCTATTGAAATACTGTACATCCACATACTTCAATAAATAGTTAAAAACCTGACCTCTTTTTAAATCATTTCTGAAGTTCAAAAACAATTTTTATTGAAAAGGTTAAATAGGTAACTTTTGGCTGTGTCACAAAGCTAAACACAATGGATAAATTAACAATATTCAAAAATTTGATCAATATAGATGATTGATTTTGATAAACTTCTCAGTTTTCTGAGTTCACACATTGGGGTATTTATGTCTATATAATTTGTCCTGAATTATCTGGCTAATTTTCTCAGTTCTCCAGTCTACTTTCTAGATATAGTTTAAATGTTATGATGAACCATTAATTTTTCAGTTAAGTTTTAAATCCTCCAAAAGTAGTGTTATGTTTAACATTCGCTCTCTCAAATCTTTTAGAGTCCCCCATAACACACAATACTATAATTTGTGTAGTACTTTTCATTATATAATTGCTACATAATAGGAACTTCATGGTGTAACAGGACTTTCGTTTTGAATAGGATCACTGTAAAACATGGTTACAGCATTTTCAATTAAACCAAGAATGCAAATGAACTACCCTAATATTCCAGTTCTTCCTTCCTTCCTCCTATTCTTGCTTTCCTTCTTTTCCCCTTCATTCCTTCCTTCCTCCCTCCCATTCTCCATTTGTTCCTCCCTCCCTCCCTTCCTTCTTCCTTCTTCTTTTTTATCCCACTGTCTTTACCTCCTTCACTTTTCTGTCTTTTCCTTTTCTTTCTACTATCCTTTCTCAACTTCTTTTTATGTTTTTCTTTCTTCTTTCTTTGAAAAAGAAATTCAGGGCAACAAAAGGAATCCCACAAATGTAAGTTGTGGAAATATAATGCTGAAATGAATAGCTAGAAAAAATTATTATACATCAAAAGATAAATCAATTTCATAAAACTGCTATTCTGAAATTGCAATAATCTTATACAGTCAGGACTGATAAAATGAAGAATCAGACGTTTCATATGTCCATAAATGTAAAATCATCTACTTGAACATTATATGCAATACATTCACACAAAAAAGCAAATACTGTAGCCTTATTTGAACAATATTGAACTCATAAATACTCATGATTTCACTCTGTCCAGGGGTCTAAGGACTAGGAATGCTGCTGTGATACAGAAAAACATAGTGAATACCTCCTCTATTTAAAATACCACTCAAGAACGTCTCTTCTAACATAAAGGCAAATACATATAGCTACTGAGCTATGTACTTCTGTCACATTCTATGGTAATAACACCAGACTCCACAAATTCGGAATCATGACAACACTTTGAACTAATTATTTGGTTCATCCATAGTTTATATCTCGATTTACCTCACATTTACCCTACAAACCTTACAAAGAGGAGGTATTTTTAACTCTAGGAAAGTGTGCACTGTATAATATGCATTCTTGATCTGTTTCTTTCTCCCAAACAAGGATACTGATGGTTAACACTTTTGTGGTAGCACCACTATTTCTAGTAAGTAGATTATTATGGAGTGTGCCACTTTAAAGCTGCAATACAAATAAAAACCAAAACATTAAAAAAAAAACAACTTTGTAATTTGCTCCCAAATTCCACAAAGGGTATTTTTAAAAAGAAAGTCAATTATAATCAAAGTTAGAATGCCATGTGTATTTAAAAGAACATTTTAATACATCAGTTAAAATAAGGTAATAAATTATTAGTGAGTAAATTTAATAGCATCATGCCATGTTATTGCCATTTTGTGAAAACATTGTATATTTAAGCCTCCTCAATTAGGATTCATTTTTCTAATTAAAATAGATTACTTTGGGACCAAATTTCACTTGAACCCCTCCCCCCCCCCAATTTCCAAGTTATCTCTTTCTGGGTAAAATATTAGATATCTTAAATATGTATAATTTCTATGAATTTTCTGTATTTATCTTTATTAGTACGTTTTTGTTGTTTTTATGGCTTGCAAAGGGGACTATTTGTAGAAATTTCTGTAGGTGTAGTGAAATTGGTAATTTTGTAAAATTTGTAAAATGATTTTCAATGCTATGGTCTTTTTTAATAAAGAATAAAACCATCAAACTATTCCTGTAATATAAAATACTTCTTAAAGTAACAGCATTTTCCTTAAAAAATGTAGTTTTCATTCTGACATAAATAATTTAATACTGATGATAATTTAATAGTTAACATCTTAAGATATTCTCATCACTGGTCTTGTCTTCAAGAAAAAGATAAAACATGGTTAATTTTTTTTTTTGGTCTTACTTGTTTGGGTTGACATAGCGATGAAGAAATATTTTATTATAGAATTAGTTACTTCCGGGATTGATCTGCTACAGACCAGCATGAAATATTTGTTACAATATATTTTGAACAATTATTTTATATAACATGCATTCCAAACTATCAACTGAGTGATGTTTTCAGATGAAAAATATGCAAAATGCTCTTGTCAACAGGAGCACCTTCTCACACCACTTCTCTTGCCATGGAACCAAATTAATTCTGAGTGCTTCCCAAGTCAGGTAATATTAGGTGATTGGAATTTGTGTCCTTTCTGAAAAACCATCTGCGCAATTTTGGCTTGGAATAGTGAAAGGAAAAGATGGGTTGCTAAACAATCTCTTGGCTGGACTGTGCTGCCATTTTAAAGGGAAGTATTTCTCAAAGTGGATATAATGTTTAGCTACATTGAAATAAATCATATGTCAAAGGTACCTGTATTAGGTTAATTAAGTTGTTTTTCATCACAAAATTGAGTTATTGTGGGGTAAATTTTGCAAACCCCACTGGTAATGAAGAGGTTTTTACATCCTCTAGCTACTTTACTCTTTAGAGATAGGACATGATTTAACTTTATCCTTATAATTCATTTTTTGCTTTCAATTGTAGGGTTTGGCAATATGTTTTTATAAGTTGAAGACGAAGAGAGAAATATTTCATAAAGGCACACCCATGCTGAACTTACAGGAAAGAGAAGCAGAGCCACACAGCCAGTTATATTACAAGGCTCATTCCTGAAACCTGAATATCATGCGAGCAGAAAAATCTAGATATGTGTGTATTTTGAAGAAATGATCTGAAGGCAATACTATTTGCTTTTTTTTTTTATCAAAAGAGAAAAAAACGCATCTTTGCAAATGTGGATTCTTATTGAAACTGGGAAATGAATGCTTGTATCGCAGCCTTAAAGAATCACATATTCACTGCAATATTCGTTTTTGTAAACTACAGCCTGCAACCTAGCAGACCATGACTGAATGCTTTTGAAAAGTTGTAGATTACAAACATGAAATCACAATTAATATCCTCTAAAAGTAATTTCAGAGCCTTCACATCTTAAAAAAAAAAAGGACAATGTGTACTGCTTCACAAGGTAATGTAGCTAATCAAAAAAAGAGAGTAGAATTAAAGTATTTACATAATGAGCAATTCTACAGAAGGCGATCATCCCTTGTAAGCACTGCTGATTATATCCCACGCTGCTTTTAACAAACTGTACCAGATTGGATCCAGCCATCAGCACTTTCAGAGAATTCTTAAGAGCCTTGTATGGGTCTTTACATTTATTGTAGAATGGCATTCTTCAGGTGGAATATGCTGGTGAAAGAGGACAGTGTCAACACAAGGTACCAGCAGGAGAAAAGAACGTCGGCCCTCCCGGTAATTCCATACTGGGCTGTACTTGGAGCTGGAAAGAAATGGAGAAAGACTAAATCAGAAGCTAATTCATGTCTTTCGGGATTTTAACGATGATCAAAAGGCAGCTCTGTATGTTGGGGAGAGCCCTGGTAATGGAGTCAGACAGAATTAGTTTCACATTTGCTTCTGCTGTAGGACAATGTGTGACCTATTTGACTAACCCTTTCTGAGCTTCATTTTTCTTAAGAAAAAAAAAACCACAAAAAACAAAAAACCCACACACACAGAAGTGATACAATCCACTTGGCAGGGCTGCAGTGAGAATCAGAGATGGAGCGAGAATCAGAGATGGAGCACATATAATAACACATTGCACTGGGCTGAACTCCTATGAAATACTATTTCATAGCTAACATTATTCCTTTTATATGCACTAATATTTGTATTAATAAACAATATTCACTCATGCATATTTTTCAAAAACGTATTTGTATTAAGATAAAATTGACGTATGACATTGTGAAAATTTAGGATGTACAACAGTGTTGATTTCATACATTTATATATTGCAATATTATTACCACCATAGTGTTAGCTGACACCTCCATTTCATCATATAATTATCATTTCTTTCCTGTAGTTGAGTAATTAAGATCTAGTCTACTAGCAATCTTTAAGGTTATATACAGTATTGTTGACTATAATTACTATGCCATGGCCATGCATTAAGTCTCCAGGACTTAATTTCTCAACGAGTTCCAAGTTTGTATCATTAAACAACAATGCCAATTTCCTCATCCTTAGTTACTGTTAAACACCAACCTACTCTTATTTTTATATGTTCAGCTTTCTTAGATTCACCATATAAGTTACATTATACATATATTTGCATATATTTTTTACTGGTAAAATATTGTAATAAATGCTAGAATAGCAAACAATAAATTCTCTTTTCCAATATTTATGGAGGTGAGGAAATATATTCAAAAATATAATATAACCTTAGAAATATCAGAGTTGCATGTGCAAACTTCAATGACACAGAAAATTGTGTATTTAAATCTGTCTGTGCAAAGGAGGGGTGATTTAACAGAGAAGTTTACCCAAAAGGATGATCATTTGGGTAGAGGTTACAATATATTCAAAAGCATGAGGAAAAGAGAGAGCACAACATACATTCTAGGATCTGAAAGTAGATTAGTATTGTTACACCATGAAAAGGAGGCCTGACATAGAGGGAAATAAAACTGGGACTCTAGGCATATAAATGATCTTGACTATAATAAAAAAGAGTTTAGCTCTATAATAAAGAAAATGTTGAAGAATTTGGAACTGTTGAATGGTATGATTATGTTTATTTATACACAAGAGGCCCAGCCCAGTGTGTGATTGAAATCACAGGAGAGGAAACGCCCCACCTCCCACCATGCAAGGAGGCACCCATGGGGGGCCAGGACCCACTTTTGACTCAGCATCCCCCGACCCCTCTGCCTGTGTCCGCTCCGATGGCTAGGACAGCCCCTCTGCCTCTGTTTCCATCTCCCCTACAGGCCTCACCTGCACATGCAACTTCCTCCTGTCTGGTAGTGACCTGTTACAGAGTCCCAGGCTAACTTGCATATCACCTCTTTATAATACAGATTAGAAAGATCACTATTTTATGAGAAGCTTATGTGGTACTTGGCTAATAGACAAGTTGAATTTTTACTGAGAGATTTCACCCGGAGACTGACCACGCTTGGGATATGGTGGGAGTCTACTGAATGAATTTCACTTCATTTCACAAGAGAATAGTTACCTCTTTGAATGCGAATTATACTGTGTTCCAGAAATTGAATGTCGCAGACATGCTCAGCCTTGCCTGACACTGATTCTCACTTACCATAATAATTATAACAGCAACAATAAAAGAAACCTACCAACATACTTTTAACTACTTTTTCTTAATGAAACCTGGATTTCAAGCACTGTTGTCTAATACAAAATAAATAATGTAATAAAAATGTATTATTTCACCGCCAAATCCATAACTCAAACCAGGAAGCAGTTTTAGTCACTGACTTTGAATTACCAGCAGGTAGTTTTTAATGGAACTTTCACCAAAGACTATATTTCCACATTACAAGAAGAACAAATTGCCTTGTTTATACCTCTAGAAATTAGAGGGGCTGACAGATGCATTGGACCCTGCCAGTAGGAAGTTTTCTTCACATTACAATTGTTGGTTCCAGGTGAATGAGATTCAAGGGCTAAGATTATTATTCTTTAGTAAACACAGAGCAAAAACAACTATTTAATGCTTCTATTTGCATCACAAATGAGTCCTAAAAGTATGAAAAGATTATGTAGAAAATACATCTTTATCATTGGACAAATGTTTGATATATAACAAGTCTAATATAAAACCACAAAACTCCTTACATTACTTTCTTTGTTCAAGCCTAGAAAGATGTTGTATTTTAAAATATATAAATAAATATTTAATTGGTTTGTTGCCTTCTCAATGACAGCTATTTCAGAGTTATTTTTGTTGTGGTTTTTAAAGAATCTTGAGTGCAATCAAACCAGTATAACAGTAAAGGACTAATAACACACAAAGCATATAAAACAATTTCATAAATAAGAAATAAATCTCAAAAATTAAGCATGTATAACAAAGATAAAATTTTATTATCTTGACTAATTAAATAGTGCATTAAATGGGTAGAATATAAAGGGCCCTCAAAGCTCCATATCTGTACTTTAAAGTGCATTTTGGGGGGCAATCTTTTTAAAATCTCCTCTTCTACAACAAGCTGAGCAGATTACCCTAGTGTGTCATTAGGTCACCATATATATTTCTTTTTATACAACTATAACACTGCACTGCTAATATATCTATTCTGGTACATAATCTACTTTACTAGAGTGTAAACTCTCCTAGTTCATGTTTTTTTTTTTTTTTTTTTTTTTTTTTTTTTTAATTTGATGTTTCCAGACATAAAGTCTGGTACATAGTAGATCCTTAATAAATTTATGTTGAATGAACAATTCAGTTAAATAAATAAATAGGTCAGAATTAAAAGTGGTCTTTTTCTCTTATAAAAGGAATTTCTTCTAAGGCAAGCCAGTTGCCTACAGGCTAAAGAATCTTCAATACACCTCTTTCAGTCATCCAGCAAATATGTACTGAACTAGGTACCAGGCACTGTATGGAGTACTGGGAATACAAAAGTTAATATGAGAAATATGGTTCTTTTGTTCCTTAATTTCATATATAGCCATAATACTCTATATTCTCCTTTTTATCCTATACCTTCAATGCCATATTTTCCCCTATCTGTTTTTACCTTATACCCAGCCTCCTATTGTCTTAGACAAAGGTATATCAATAATATGTTTAAAAATTAAATACTACTTTGCAACTAACAGAGTATATGTTTGTTCATGGATGTCTCATATTGATGTATTCTTTAGTTTTTGAATGCAATACTTCTATTAGTCCTAAAATAAAGTAGGGACCTGTTGCTGCATTGTTAGCATTCAATTACTATAAGAAATGAACTGTAGAATAGCTATTGACCATTAGTATGTCAAAAAACAGAGTGTAAGTAGTTAAGAGAATGTGAGGTCAATTACCTAATGCCAAGTCATATATCATGATTCATAACTTCTTAAGTAGATATTGAACACCTTTTATGTGCTGGGGATTGAACAGAGCTAAAAATTAATAAAAGTCAATCTCCACTCGAGGAAAGGTTCATTTTAATTGAATATATAAATAAAAAATCAAATATGGAACGTTAGGATATATATAGTGAACAAACTTGAGAGGTTTTCTCCAAAGAGTCATGGTAGAGGTGAGTAGTCTAGGCAGCAGATACAAATACAATTATTTTTCACAAAATGCAATGATATATACATGCTAGTACATGTATATCTCATTTAAAAAATGATGACATTGGGGTTCATTGGCTTGTGGTATCCTATTACTATATAACTTTAGTTCCATTGACTGATATTTATTTTTGTTCGTGTGTGTGTGTGTGTGTCTGTGTGTGTGTGTGACTTGTTAACTCAGTGATTTGGAGCACAAGTGATTAAGGCCGATAGGACTAAACTTAGGAGTCTCAGTACTATTTGGCTAATTAGATTTGCTTGGCATGTCAAATCCCAATCAGCCACATAAAAAATTATAGAAAATAACTGTTAGTTATTAGTAATTAGTCATTAGAAATTAGCCTCAAAACCCAGTTCAAGTATCCTCTCCTTTAAAAGAGAAAACTCTTTATAAAATCCCACTTGCCATACGAATTTAACATCATTTTTGATACCTTATTTACATACCAATCACATCATACTTACATATCAATCTTTTCCCATTAGACCAAGAATGTCTTTTTTCCATTAGACTAAGATTTATGACATGCATCTTTATCATTGGTATAGAACACAGAGTTTGATACTTAGTAAATATTCAATAATTTATTGAATGCTGATAGTCCATTTCCCAAACTATCACCATAAACATATAAGGAGGTACAATGTCTTGAGCACTTTTACCAGAAGAATATTGCCTTTCACCATTCATTGTTTACTTTCTAAGACTGTGCAGAGTCAGAATACTTCCCTTCAGCATTTGAGCAAGAAATAGATGTTGAGGCAGCCTATATAAGGGAAGAGAATACATCCAACTTTGTACTCCTCTTTCAGCAAGTGTCTGGGAGTATAGATGAACTTATGGACCTTAATATACATCTAAATTTCTTAGGAGATATCCAGCTGTGTCTTTGGGATGGTCATATCTTTCACATGTTCTCTGCCATGCTTTTAGTTGCCTGAGAATATCATACTGCTTCTCATCCTAAGTAAAATTAGGCAGATTAGGACATGTGAGGGTTTGGGTTTCATTCTGAGTGATATGGAAGCCTTAAGAGGATTTTGAGCAGGGGAGGTTAGCTGACAGTTTTAAATGATTGCTTGGGTATCTTGTTTACAACTAACTGTACTAGCAGATGTGAGTAGAAGGCTATGTTGGCCTGGAACCTTCAGGTGTCTCCACTGACTATT